TTGCTAGCTATGGAATCCTATATAATGCTTCCTAACAGCTTCTTATGATCTCTTTTTTTGTTTCTTATGCTTACTGCGATTAGTGAAGCTTTCTCGATAGTGAGAGTGTAACAACACTCTTGTGCGATATTTTGAGCAAAACTTTGGAAGTTTCAGGTCGCGTAAGTTCCAACTGAGCGATTCTGGTCCATACTACCTAAATTTTTTGGAAAGGATCGCTCAGCCTAACTATACCAACTCAGGTATGCAGTACATGAAGATTACTTTACTACAAAATTTTATCTCAGGATGACGTGTTGCGAACTAAACTCAAAACCACTGAAACTAATCAAACACATTTCACCTACAAGGATCTGTAAGTAAGTGCCTTTTTTGTTTCCACTCGTTTGACTTCCAATTAAAACTCAGTCAAAGGGAAATAATTCAATGCAGGATTTTTGACGAGGGTGGACAAAGAAGTGAACGAAAAAAAATGGATACATTGTTTCGTATACGTTACAGCTGTAAATTTCTGCCTAGCTATAAGCGATTACGACATGGTCTTGGCAGAGGGCGCTGAGATGGTAACACCGGCATCTTCCTGTTTTCATAGATGATAGGCATGTCAATATTACAGAATTGGATGATCGAATCAGTGGAACTTTTTGATACAACTTGCAAAAACAAATGATTCACCATGACTCCAATAAATCTGCCTTTGAGCAAGAGGGATTTTTTTGAGGAGAAATCAAGCGCTCACCTTTAGCACATTGCTTACCCGAATACATCGTTAAGTACGCATCTTACTTGAAACTTTGTTGAGATCAAGTTTCGTCTTTTATTTGTCCTTTCCATGCGGTCAATGTTGATCGGTTCAAACGCCTGCTACATTTGGCACATATTTCTTCCGTTTCCAAACCTTCATCCGAACTCAAGCAACTTTGGGAACAGCTTTTTTGCTGTTCCCAAAGCTGTTTGTCTGTATGTCTGTAGTATGTTCCAAATAGAAAATTCTATTTCTGAACCGATCCGGACCAAACTTGGCACACATACGCTACGGGCCCCGGCGGGTGTCATAGGCTACTTTTCGTCATCGATCGATATCGATTTTATCGATTTTTATCGATTTTTTGCTGAGTTCACCTACGGGGCTGGGAGTTGGCACAGGGGGGTAAGCGAGCATGGGGATTCCGAATACAATATTGGTTTTCAGGATTATCGATTACTTTTATCGATTTTATAGACTTTTTTTGTAAAGTTTGACCTGCGGGGCTGGGAGTTTGCAGAGGGGGGTAATCGAGCATACAGATTACGAATACAATATTGGTTTTCGGGATTATCGATTACTTTTATCGATTTTATCGATTTTTTTGCAAAGTTTGAGCTAGGGGGCTGGGAGTTGGCACAGGGGGGTAATCGAGCTTGCTGATCATCCCCAAGGGGGGTGATCAGCATGCTCGATTACACCCCCCTGCCAAATTCCAGCCCCCTAGCTCAAATTTTCAAAAATCGATAAAATCGATAAAAGTAATGGACGATCTTGAAAACTAACATTGTATTCGTAATCTGCATGCTCGATTACCCCCCTGTGCAAACTCCCAGCCCCGCAGGTCAAACTTTACAAAAAAAGTCGATAAAATCGATAAAAGTAATGGACGATCCTGAAAACTAATATTGTGTTCGTAATCAGCATGCTCGATTACCCCCCTGTGCCAACTCCTAGCCCTGTAGGTGAACTCTGCAAAAAAATCGATAAAAATCGGTAAAATCGACATCGATCGATAACGAAAAGTGGACTGTGACACCCGCCGGGGCCCGAAGTGTATGTGTGCCAAGTTTGGTCCGGATACGGCGGAGCCGGGTAAGCCAGCTAGTTAATCTTATAAGCACTTCACATCGACTTTTTTTACTCGAAAATGCTATCCAACATCTATTCTGCTATCTGCTTGGTGATCTTTATCTTTATTCTCAGTCGCGTGACTGCGAACAATTTTTTCTTATTTTCGTGCAAATTCTCCTTAAAAACGTGCATTTCTCAGAATTGTTCCCGTATGAACCATCTAACATAACGTTTCGAATAAGCGCCTCGAATTTGCTGGAGCTAACGTGCTATAACCATCGGAAGGCAGTCGTGTTAATGGTTTATATGGGAACAATTCTGGGGTCGCACCTTGTTTCTAGAGTATATTAAGGGAGCACGCAAAGACTGCGGACGTATCGGCTATCGGCGTCTCTTTTATCAAGCGCTCTGTTTCTCTTGCCATATGTAGTCTCTTTTATGCACGGACACGAACTATCTTGATCGGACGCAAGGCGCCCAGTCTTTGCGTTTCACGAACCGCCTACAGTCTGCCCCAATCGGGATCAGGCCGAACCGTCGGCTGTATTTGCGCGCTCGCAGCGCTAGGGGATTGCGCTGCATACGCGCGCTGTCGCAGAGATTGAAGAGATCGAGAAGAAAGCAGACTGCTAGCCGCAGATGTGGCGCGAAACCCTTTCGGCGCGGACTCCCGCCATGCTTATTTTGGCCTGGTTAGGATTGGGGCAGACTGTATACTTGTTTGCGTTTTCACATGATTGCAAGAATGCACAAAACATTGAAGCAGTAAGCTGCCTACACTTACGGTAGCCTTTTCTGATAAGGTTGGGTTTAGGGTAGATTGTTGAGGCAGCAACCATCGTTGCTACTCAGTCACCACAATAGAAGGGATTTGATGAGCATGCCATTAGACTGCTTTGATACTGATCTAAAAGTTCAAGAACTGTTCCCGAACATCGAGTATTGGTTTGATAGTAATTGATAAGGGTTCATCTGCGTTCAAAATCGATATCAATAGAAGGAACAAATGTTTCCATGAAGTACACATTAGCTAACAATTTACCAACACTCAGCTTTACATATGTACAGAAGACACTCAAGCTTATAAGCTTATATCGCCAGATAGGGTTTTTTGTTGATTCTCCTAGTTTTACTAACTTTGTGCGTTCTCGTGTTGTGCACCTTCTCCGTCGTGACCCATCGGTTCAACGCTATTTCGCATTACGTCCGATACCCTCACAGGACGTTTCGACTCCCTTATACCCTGGACTGAAAAAGGATCTAAAGGATCGGAAAAGGATCGGTCGAGTTGAAACAGTGATGTTCACAATGAAAGGCTTTTTCAATTCAATCAGGGTCAATTTCTGCTCTATCTCCAAAACAAATGGTGTCGCAATCCGTTCAAGTTTCTCTAAAAACGGGACAAATACGATCTCCGCACGTCGAGTATCGACTACAACAGTGAGACTCCGGAGGAAACGTGTGAATCTGTTTAACTGGTTTTAACTTCATATACTGAATCCGCAGCGGCAAGCCTCAGTTGGTATGAAGTTAACGTGCATTTGAAGGGCGTTAGGGCCATAGCGACGTTGCGTAAGTTGGAAAGAGTGAGTTGGACTACATTTGGGCTTATATAATTGCAACTTCACATATCCAAGGCATTGTCATGATTAATGGTAAAGCACTAAGCGTCTGTCTTTTTCAAAGTGTGCTAGCTTCTTCCTTTATATTAGAAACAAATGGTATCCGGTCCGTTCAAGCTTCTCTAGCAAGAATGGGACAAACACATTTTAGAGTTTTTCGTATATTGATTCGGAGCGGCACGCCTCGGTTTGTAGGACGCTAATGTGCATTTGAGGAGGGGATGTAAGAGCTATGGCGAAGTGAGCTGGAAAGAGTGAGTTGAACTGACTCTGGGGGATATAATTGTCTTCACATATTCAAGGTGTTTTTCGTAAATGAGAAGGAATAGTGACCAGGGAAGCAGAAAAATAGACAATTTGATGGAGGAATGCCAACTACTGCTCTTGGCCACATGTCCTTCAATAGCCACCTTAGTGCATCGCTGTAAAAATACGTCAAGAGCAACTTTGAAAGCTTAACATATCTGCGTTTTGGCTCCTTTCTGTTTCTTGACACAACAGATCGCCTGACCGCATGGTGTTAACGTTTGAATAAAGATAAAGCGTTATATTCTGGTTGTTCTGATTACTGGTTGATTTCTTTGTATCACTTCCTTGTTTTCTTAAGCAATATGCGTAGGGTCTGCTGACGTGACACTACTCACAGTCTCATTAATCGCTGTACAGATGTATTTGCAGCTCAAGCGCAATTTGATTACTGTCAAGCCATCTCGAAATGGAGGCATTTCCGCATGTATGTGACCTCACTTATCCTGTGATTTACCCTAGATTTCGTTTTTAGAGTCATCATTCACTTGGCAGCACTGGCACGTCTGCACTTGCACGGTCATCACCAGATAGGCTTTTTGTCAATCGTCCTAGTTTTAGTGACCTTGCACGTTCCCGTGAAGTGCACCTTTTTCGTCGCGATCCTAGCGCTTAAGGCGATTTCGTCTTTTCACTCCAATAACCCTCTAAGGTCCTCGTGTTGTACATTTTTTTTGCCGCAATCGTGGTGCTCAACGCATCCCTCTATCTGCATCCAATCTGCATTCCCATCCCGCATCTGCATCTCCTTCAGCACCTCCATTTGACCGAGTCCCCGTCTACCCCGCTCGCACTTCTCCATCTATCCCGCCTACGTCTACTGGCTCTCCGTCATCGAGCAATTCCATCGTTTTTTCAAGTACTTTTTCTGCTGCTGCTTGCAGCAGTCGTGTAGCCCCTTCTCCCGCCCCTTCTTCCTCGCACATTCCTCCTCATCTAAATCTTATAATCGGTATAGGGGTGAGTTTCAGGTGAGTTAATTGGGAAGAAAGCCCGTTCTGACGTATGGAATTCCAGATGGAAGGCTCTGTTACACGTTTTACTTGCAGCGCACAGAGAGATCGTATAAGGTATATAAATGCACATCATGTGATAGGCTGGGACGGTACGTCGTGAAGGTAGGATTAATCTGCCCAAATACCATTTCCGTAGCAGGCACTGTAGGTAATTGGGGATTGCTTCATGGAGGGCCCTGTAATGCTGAGGCATTGTTGTTTACCGAAGAAGTTCACAGCCAATGTCGTCAAAGAATAATGTTTGGAAAAATGCAAGAAATCCGAAGAGACGCTAGATATGCAGACGTGCGAGCCAGAAGAGTTTGGCGGGATTTATTGGAGGAGATCCCTGAAATGCCTTACGTTAGTCAGTTTTTGAACACTCCCGAAGGACATATGGATCCAATACAGAGTTAGGCGCGGAAGAGCTTCTCGACATCGTAGACGAATATCATGCTGAGGGCTATGCAAGGCGTAGGATCGCACGGTCAGTTTTGCTTGCACTGTGCGCCGGAGATATACGTATTTTAGGAATATTGAAACACACCAGAAGCCCATAATTGACCTTGATAACTTACCGGAAAGTATGAAAAATTTACCGGATGGAACCCCCTTCCTTCAGTACAGGACTACCGGCCTTTACGTGTTTTTTTTATAGGAAGACAGTCGAGGTAACTTTTACAATTACCCTGACACCTTTGTTTCTTGCAACGCATACTTTTTAGAAAGCGGTCGAAAATGGCCTTAGGGATAGTTGCTGACGGAGTTCATAAGTTGCCACCTGATGTTTTGGGGGACAATACCCAATTATACACTCTATACGCAGTAAGTAAAGCATGAATTGGTGAGGGTGTTGGGTGGCACCTTGTTTTGGGGTATAAAGTCTACGGTTACAGATATCTCTATGATGCATGTTATTACGAAAGGGAAAAATCAGAATACATACGAGAAAATTTTTGAGCTTTTAAAGCAAACACTTTCATTGGCAGGGCACGATTGTTAACGTATCCGGATAGTCATAGATCTCGAAAAAGCAGCCTTGGTTGGCATCAAGGTAGGTAGAAACTCCGAACTCGCTGAAATAATCTATTGATAAGTCCAGAAAAATTTTGACGAGCGTTATATCGAAGGTTGCGCATTCCACATGTCACAAGCATGGGTTCGTCGCGCTCATATTCTGGGGCTGAAGAGGGTCCTGAAAAAGGGTCGAATAAAACACTGGTGGCTCACACTAAAAGCACTAGTATTTTTACCAAAATCTACATCGGAAAGTACCTGCTCTACACAGACCCCCAGTTCCACGCTGTCATCCTGCTTTTTCAAAGTGTGCTAGCTTTTTGCGATATCTGAAAGATGAATGGTATTGCGGCCCGTTCAAGTCTCTGTGGCAGAAATGGGACAAACGCGATCTCCGAACGTCGACTATTGCGGAGTCATACCATAGGTGCGAAGCTAGAGTAAAAGCTTTATATTCTGTTCGACCGATTTCAGAGTTCTTCGTGTACTGATTCGGAGCGACTCGCCTCGGTTCGTAAGACATTGATTTGCATACGCGGGGCCGATGTCAGGGTCATGGCGACAATGAACTCGGAAAGAGTGAGTTGAACTGATTTTGAGATGATATAATTGCAACTTCACTTATTTGGGGCATTTTCCGTAAGTTACGAAGGAAAGATGACCGGAGACGAACAAAAATAGACAGTCTAATGGATGAGCAGCGACCATTGATCTTGGAGCCATGTCCTTCAACAACTAGTGTAGGTGCATTACTGCAAAAAGATGTCACGTTTTGTTTCTGAGAAAGTAGTAAGATTTCTCTTGTTCTTTATGCTTTTCCTCATGATGTAAGAACGTCTTTTCTTTTCCTATCTGAGCTTTCACCTACACGTGTTTATTCGTGTTGTTGATTTCCACTTTTGAGTACGTAGATCTTTATCTTCATCACTCATTTTCTCTTAACATCTCAGTCTTTGTCTTTCGTTGTGTCCTTCCGCATTCAAGTCGTTTTGCCTTCATTCCTCCTGCTAAATTGCCTTATGTTGCATCATCATCAGCGCTGCAATTCTATGGACTTTCCCACTTTGTCTATGTCATTTCTATGATGTGCGAGATTCCTCTATCTTGCTTTGTCAACACCATGAAATCTCAATACAAAAGCGTTCCATTTTCATCAGCCACTTCCCCTGGGAGCTTGAAAATTCACGTTTGAGAAAAGTTTTTGAACAAGTTCAAAGCAAAGCAGGTCATTTCCTCTTTTAACAATGGACAGCCAAAGACATTCACAACATTTTAAAAAGATTACTGAGTACATGCGCATGAATTCACCCTTCATGACAAATAGGTCAAGACATTTGGGTCGCATCCTCGGCACTATAAAAATCTCCACTTCTGAACTTTTCTTCATCAGTCTACACTTACGAAAAATAATAAAGTAGTCACCTACATTAAATGTCCGTGTCTGTTCTTAGCATGATGGGATTTTCTTCGGTAAGGACCAAATAAGCCACTCCTAACACGATGCATTCGCAGAACGTTGTTCATTGCACACCTACAAAAGAACGAGGAAGATGGTAGAAAGTCTTATTTTAGAACAAATTTCGCAACTCATACCGGAGTAACAGTCAAAACAGCTTCAGCTTGTGAGCATCTTGTAATTCGAATGACATACGACGTCTTCAGCATCCGATTCTAAGCTGGCTGCAGTACATGCTCATCACTCGAAAGTGTATGAAAAAGCAGCTACAATAAAGCGTAGAAAAAATGAAGTGGGAACAATTTGTGGAAAGTCACAAAATAAAAAAAAGGATACAAAAAGACCTATAACGTTCCTAGGACACACAACTTACATACGCACAGTGAGGTCAAATGCTGCGCGTCCTTCGGTAATAGTGGTATCACTTAGAAGCGCGACTCACTAGACTGCTCTACAAAATGGTGACATATCTGCAAAAAAAGCTCAATCTATTCAATGAATGCTCATTCCAAGGCGATTTAGATTGTCATGAAACTTGAGCAATTCACATTTGCAAAATTATCCGTATGTACTAGCTGCAAATCCAAATGCAGGTTCTCCTAAAGAGGCGGGTAGAACAGCAAGCAAAGGCACAGTTTAATCGAATCTTTTTAGAAAACACTGGAAGTAAGTCACTGAAAGCAACCTTGCAAGACTTTGTTATGATTTCAACATACGAAGGAGTCAACACGGTCACATACAAGGAAGGATCGACAGATATATGACGCCTGTACACAGACTTAGCCATAAAGCTGCCTTATATCGTTGGTCTTTGGAACACCATAAAATTAAAAGCAAATTGGGTCCCGAAAAATTCAAATGGCACAAGACAAGCCTCATCATAACCAAACAATGAAGACCAGATAAGCGCACGAAGGCCCATCTTCCCGGACACATGGAGCAGAACAGCATTCAGTCACCCTGCTTCAAGTTCGAAGTTTCGCTGATCAAAAAGAGAAGCGAAATGGAGGAATAAGGCCAAAATGAAAGAAATCTGAAAGAAAAACCGTTGAGAACGGTCAAAATTCTCCAACTCCCGCCGTTAAAAACGGTCCGGCTGCAGCGCATGCAGCACAGTTCTGGAACTGTTCCCGCACAGTTCCAACACAGTGCGAGAACTGTGTGGGAACAGTTCCAGAACATGGGAGTCAGTATGAACCCAGCCTAAGCCTATCCTTCCAGGTCGTTGCCGGCCGCGAATGCGCCAGTGCCGATGCCGCCAATCCGCACGGGACCACTATCGAAGTGTGCGCGTAGGTGAGCCGCAATTTCATTTGTAACCTCACCTCATCCTCTCTAGTCCTCCTCTCTGTTTTGATTCGTTTTTTGAGTTTTGTTAGTGTTTTTTATTTTCAGATGTCAAGTGAATCGGACTCAACCGTCCACGTTCTCCACCTGCGCTATAAGGCAGCTTGTTGGGTGTGGAGAATACGCGAACGCGGCGGACTGGGGGGCTGGAAGTTGGCACTGGAGCTAAGTAAGGCATGCTGATCACGAAAACAATATTTAACTTAACGGCTATGACTTGCATTTGGCGACATTATCGATATTTGGCAAAATTTAAGCGACGGGCGGGGCTGACTACGAATACAATATTGCTTTTTGGAGGCATCCGTTACCCTTTTCGACTTTATCGAATTTTTGCCAAGTCTGAACTACGGGGCTGGGAGTTGGCACATCGCGGTAATCGAGCATGCAACAGATGTTTTATTTCTAAGGGTGATGATTGGAGCATTGGCTGGCGTGTCTCTTGGGCTCATTATCTTGCTCTTCATTCTAATCGGCATGTGTAGGAAGAAATCGAAAGTTCTTTTTGCCCTTTACGAGGCTTGTCCAGAAATCGCCGGTCGAAATTGTGAAGTAAAAATAAAAGAAATTTATCTTGAGAATGTGTTTCATGATTTCTCGGTCAGTTTCGAGCATACCTGGTTAACAATCATACCTATACAATTTGTAGTCCAATTTTGAATATTTAATCATGTTATCTCCCGAAAGTATCGAAGTCATTCTCAACTAAGCCGGATGTACGGTGCCTAAGAATATGTAAGTCCAATATTCAATTATTTGATTATTTTCAAATAAAAATTACTTAGATATGGCAAAATCGGATTTACTATCGGACTGTTAATCATCGTAATTCCTGCACTTTTTTGTTTCCTGTTGCTAATTCGCAACTGGCAGCGATGGGCGTCGCGGCTGGATGCGGGCCGTAAAGGTCTGCTGAAGGCCGCGGAGGCCCTGGAGCAGGTGAAGGACGGCGTGGACGAGGGGGAAGGCAGCACCTTTGTAATCTGTGACACCTCATAAGATATGATGTTATGATTTGATGACTTGATTTGTTATTTTGTTGATAATAAGAGTTGTTCTCTTTATTCGCATCAACAGTCGGCTTAAGCAAAAAAAATTCGATAAGTCACAATCACGCAAACGACGTTTGATGATGCTGCCTTTGAAACTTAAATTTACCCAATTGTTGTGAAATTGCGGGCGAACTAGATGCTCAACTACAATAAAAAGTTTTTTTTCAGGAGCTTCATGATCTAGACAGTAGGAAAACGAATCTTCATACTAGAAATTTCATTCTGAAGGTTCGTTTTGAAGTTTGATGGGCATGCTTTTGTGCGAACCGCGAAAATTGATGTCAGAGAATTTTCAGGTCAATTCAGGGGTTGAACGTCTTTGGAAATATCATATCTTTCCATATCTCCAGTTTCCAGTACATCTATCGGGGGGGGGGGGGGGGGTCTTCATCAGAAAGCGAAAAATAGAATTGTGTAGAATGTGTCTGGATCAAAAATAGTGTATTGTGCTCCTTCGGTGATTCGCTGTTTCGATGTTTTCCCACTTCACTTCAGATAATCCTAACTAAAGACCTGAGTTGAAGTTAGATAAGTTGACCAGCGGCCACTCCCATATGCTTCAGAATGCGACCTGATCTGACGGGTGAGAGTAAGGAAGGTGCCGCGATAATTTCACCTGAAATTCGTAAGAGTATCGTCGATTTTGAGATGAACTGATCGAAATAGTGTGCAAAGGATGAGACGCAGAGAAAAGACCCGTAAGTTGCTTGTGAGCAACTTACGAGACATGTAATGTGGCATCATATTGCGGACTAAAGTGCCCAAAACTGCACACATTCCGCTGCGCGATAGGTGCCTCAAATTTTCATTCAATTTTTTCGCTTCTCCTGTCTCAATCTTGCTTCTGTATCTACTTAATCTCCAAGCTACGATTTGCTGCCATGTCCGATACCAAGTTCAAGAACTTGTAACTCGTTCATCTTTCATTTCAAAAAATCTGATTCGATTTGATTTATTTTTCAAAATCTTATCTTAATCTCTATAAATCTCCAGACTACGATTTCTCATATCTGATACTGAGTTCAAGAAATCGTAACTCGTTTATCTTTCATAACTTGCTTATTTAAGTATTCGCTTTCCGACAAGACCGTAATCCGTCAGTGGCGCATGTCTTGTTGCCAAAAGGTAAATTTATATTTGTTTTTTTGTATTAGTTCCTGTTACTCTTACATCCATGTAAGTAGTTAGCAAGTATTTCTCTCGTTTGTGGCAACCTTTTTGATACATGCTACTATTTCATTTTATATTCAATTTTGCAGAATATACTTCCAAAATGCTGAATTCCGTCTCGGAATGCATTGTTGATTTTTTCGTGAACAACTCCGAAGTATTGGATATGAGGGTCTTATAGACAGCCGTGCGTTTGCCGTTCTGCGTCGGCGTCCGGACGAACGTCAACATTTCTCGGAAATCAGAGCCTATAGAGAGCTGAAATTTTACGGTTGTACTTCTAAGGGGTCGGTATACAACTGCTAGTATAAGAAGAGCACAGCATCACTTTGGTAAAAACATGGAATTTTTCGGTTTGCTGATAGCTAGCAAAAAGATAGCAACAGCACATATGAGTGTCTGATATGGAGTGTATATGCGTGAGCGAGCGAAAGATCTGTAGGACTTTTCTAAATGAGGATAAAGAAAATTTTCTCTTTTCTGGGCATCCGAAACTTTTTAGATTTTGGTTTCAAACTTGAGGTGGATCGAAGCGGTGAAAAGCGTAAACACCTTCTTGTAGAGCTTGCTTTGCTCTATCGAACGGTATCCTGATGTCTATTTAGAATAAGAAATGTTACACTTATTACAGCGAAAACTCAAAAATAAAAAGACTTAGGGAACAACCTAATATCTATCAAAAATTCAATAAGAGCTGTGTATCTTTTGCAGGTTCTTTTCTCCACTGCAACACTGGCATGGGGTGTGAATTTGCCCGCTCATACGGTCATAATCAAAGGCACCCAGATCTATAATCCAGAAAAGGATGGATGGACTGAGCCCGGTGCTCTTGACGTTATGCAGGTAATGCACAAAAGTGCGGGAGATGGACTCTACATATTGGTTGCTGCATAAGTTGTGTCCGATTTTTTTTGCCTTAAGTTTGAAGCAGCTGTTCTAAGAGAATTTCATCTCTAATGCGGTATTGTTAGTATCACTAGAAAGTGCTTTTCTTGCTCTTCCTAATGCATATCAAATTTCTATAATTTTCTTGGTGTAATGAGATTTCAGGCCTAAAATCTTCAAGTGGCCGAGGTAGGTCCTCAACCTAGAAATATGTTCTCGCGAGGAAATCTCCACAATGCGCCCGTCAAATCAAGTTCTTTCATTGTTTGCGGAATATGGGTTTAAAAGTATATGCAGAAGCTCATTGTCAGTTCCATGAAGAAGACGTCTCGCTAGTAAAATTTGTTGTCGAACATCAATTTTTTGCATAGATGTTTTACAAGCAATAACTTTCAATAATAAATAGCAATAAAGCAATAACAGCAATAAAGTTCAAAGTCGGAGATGCTAGAGTAAAGCAAGAGCTGACAGATCCCATCCACCGATTTCTTTTTGGCGCTCACGTCAATTGTAAAAGTCTCCTAATTCGTAAATAGGCATGCACACATGCGCTGAAACGAGGTCAAAAAGAGCTTCTTTTTTGCTTGGTCGAATAAATCTCTCGGCAACGCAGACTCTGTGGGCTCTTTTGTGCTCCAAAACAATCTACGAAAATTTCTCTATCTATCCATTGTTAGACAAGATGCCTATCAATTCTCATAAGGGAGCATTACCATGTCAAAAAAGACAGGTTTAAAGAGAAACACTGGAAAGTTTTTGGGTTCTTGCTTCTTGCTTAACAAGGATTTTCGCAGGTTTCAATATGTATCTGATAGCCAAGGACTTGCTCATCACGCAATAACTAAAATCTTAGGAAAAAGTTGACTTTGAAAGAAGTTATGACATTTTGAAGTCAAAAAATTCAAATCGGACAGAACTTATGCAGCAACCTAATACATACATATCTCTTTCTTCTAGATGCTTGGTCGAGCTGGTCGTTTACAGTATGATTCAAAGGATAAAGGAATCTTGATTACCAGTCAGTCCGAACTTCAGTTCTATGTCTCGCTAATAAACCAGCAGGTTTGTACGCTCAAATATAATTTGAGTTGATATTGTCTTCTCTCTTTCAGTTGTCTGTTGAAAGTGAAATGGTATCTCACCTTCCTGATATGCTCAATGCCGAAGTTGCTTCTGGAACAATGACGAGCCGATCTAATTCACACAGCATGTTTGCAGTTGAGAGCAATCTTGTAAAATGCGACAAAAAGAGCGGATTCGTTTAGGTTAGATTCCTTTAAAATTTTTGCATTATTCACTAGGTTATTCATTAGGTTGCTGATATAGCGTTTATTGGCTAACCATATGCATTCAAGGGTTCATGGCACCGCCGAAGGTTTCTGGATCGTTGTCGAGGATGTGGATGACGAGCTTATCTCACTCTTTTTTTCTTTTTCCGTGTTAAATTGTATTTACAAATCAACCGATTGTTCCAATCTTTGTCTGTTCTTAAAAAGGTGTTATCACTATATAGTGGTAACATCTAGCCATGTTGTTCCTGCCGTGTGCTCTTTTAAAAGTGCTAGTCTCGTCTATGCACTTCCTCGAGCGGTCAGGAACTATTCTTTGCATAAGTGAGATATTGGGTGGATTGCCGTGAAGCTATACTAAAGAATATCACCCAAAAGTCATAAACGGACTGAAAGAACTGAAAAGAGCGGAACGGAATAATTAAGTAGAGTATTAGACAAAAACGGGGAAGAAATGAAGAGGAAACAAGATCACTCACTATATCATGAAAGCAAAGCCTCGTTACACGTCATTTTTTTCAGTTAAACAACTCAACTATTCCACGTTGAGTGAAAGAACGTTTTGAAGAGACCGGAGTAAGTATGTCGTGCGAGCTTGACCTGTAATTACAACATATGCATATACTATATATATACTACATATACCATGCATAAGCCAAGATGATCACACTAGTCTAACATGTTTGCGCTATCAAAAGAAGACAGATACGGTGCATCCGGTTTCTCAATACCAAAGACAAAACTAACAAAAGGATTCCATTTTTATATGCGCTTCATCGCACGCAGTGACACCACGTCACTACGGAAACGCGTCTCGCGGGCGTTCTTTCAATCCTCTTGCCGCCTCATGTCTCTTACGCGCACGAACTATGCGCGTGCGATGAATCGCCTCTACAATTGTTAGAAACGAAGATTCATGGAAAAGGGGAAGCCATTCAGTAAAGGAAAAATCTATCGTTGAAAGTTGAAATTTAAAGCGAAGCATATCAGTAGTTTCAGAAACAACAAGAGTCCTTACCTAAACGAGATGATTGTGAACGCCTCTGCTAGCCGATTAAAGCACAAATCAGAGAAAAGGTGAGCAAACAAAGGCAAACCATCACAGTCGATGCGTTCAAACCATTACCTGCAATACAAAGTTGTCACGAAGAAACATATAGGAGAGTTACGGCAGCAGAGAGTGGTCCTGTTGAGGTCAATCGTTTTTTACGACAAGCGAAAGTAAGAAGAAGCGCAAGAAAACCAATATCTGCTCCTCCACCTCCCCATGGGCAATTTTCTCGTGGAGTAAGTAGTTGTGTACATTAACTAAGAGGGCTAGTCCATTGCAGATAAAGGCTGAGCGGTGCTTAGCCTTTATCTGCAGTCTCTAGAGCCTTAAAAGCTAGTCTCAAAAGTTACATTAAACAGATCTCGCAACATGCCACCGCCATATGTCACAACATTCACTCTCAGGTATTACACGATGCAGGCAACATTATAGTTGCTTGTCGCAGCAACATGCAACGTGTTGCTGCGATCCATCCAGGGCTCGGCACAGCTGGCACCGGATCAAGCTGGATATCGTTTTTAGGCGGAAATCAAAGTTAATGTCGTTTTTACAGGGTCCGGGGCGGAGAAGTGTCGCAAGAATGCCACCGGCATGCTGTCCATCAACAAATAAAGGCGTTGTTTTGAGCCAAAACGCAAAGTATGACACCAAATTTGGTGTGTGCATGCGCATTGGTGGGTCCGAACTATGGCCCATTTTATGAAAACTTATGTGAATGAAAGCTGTGCTAAACTTTTTTCTGAATTAGCTGGCACCGTGCCAGCTGGGTGCCAACTGAGCTGGCACCGACACTTTGCTCACATGAGTTTTCATTCTTTTTTACATAAAATATATCTACACTGTAAAAGTTTATATACAGAGAAGAGACAGTTACATAATGTTTTCTTTTCAGCGTTTTATAGCAATCTGAAAATTACTCGGGTCTGCTCCGTAGTCGAAAAATCGGCTTTTTCCGCTTCTCAAGATGTGATTCAACCACTTAAGCTTAGAAAATTGTGAAAAGTTGTTCCATGAAATCAGCATGCTAAAAACCCTACTGCATACTTTGAGATGATCTAAGAATAATGACGGGTCTTCAAAACAGGTTAAGGGGGATTTCGTACAAAATTTTCAAAATCAAACGGAACTTCGTTTTGAAATTTCCCTTGTGCCAGCTCGTGCCGAGCCCTGGATCCATCTCTTCAATAATCTGTAATTGAAAACCCATGTATTTTTAAAACTTCAGCGATTTCAATATGCGTAAGAACGAAGCTTTGAGACAATCTTCAAGGAAAAAATCCTTGGTACTCAATGATATTTGTTGCAACGCAATCCAAACATGTTTGTGCATTCTCAGAAAGCTGCGGATAGCCCCTAAAACACGACATATGGCAGAGAGTGAGAGCGAAAACTTACTTTCTTCAGCTGTGGACTGCCGCACAGTGATAATTCTTTTTTGAGATTAATAAAATGTTCATCTGATAACGTCTTGTACACCAAGGCCAGAACGCGTTTTCGTGTAGTAGCCGTAAAGAATACGCGCAGCTTATTCAAAAATGATGTTGCAAATTTTTTCCATTCAGTGATTTCTTCACTTGCATCTTTGAAAGCATCTGTCAGAGCAAGCCCTATCTTATGCGCCATGCAGTGGATCTAAATGATAGGGGTCATTTGAAACAGCGTTTATAGCATCATCTCCATCACCTCTACTTCCACCATGTCTTTACGAGATTGGACACATTCCATTTAGTATTCCGCGCAGTCCTTTATCCCTCTCGTCATAACACTGGCACCATCCGTGGCTACTGCCACAAGGTTCCAGTAATTTTGTTCAACAAATCTGCTTCTTTGAAGTACTCATAGATCTTATCAGACATATTCTGGTCATGATGTGAGCGTTGGGTGTAGTGAGTTCCGATTAGGAAAACGAGAAAAGAGAAGGAGAATTTGTCTGCTCCCAGGGTTCGTGGAAGTATCAGTCAATATGTATAGAGAATGAAGATTGATTTTTATTGAGATAGTCTTTCAGTGTCATTCTCATGCTTTCGCTTATATAATCGGTCATCTGACATATCCATCACGTGTATGTTGCTTTTCTCCAATGTCTACGCCCGTGGCCGACACAGCTTCGCACAGCGAGGAAAAGTTGGAAGATGCATTTTTGCAGCGAAAGCTAGCATAAAGAGTCGACTTCCGGACGCTCCAAAATCTGTTGGAGCTTTGTTCACAGCTTTCAAATACTGAGCCACTTTTTTATGCTCTTTTGACTTCGTATATGATTCCTTACGGTTGTCAAAACGTTGTCGCTCGTAAGTCCAATTTCGTCTTTCGTTGCAATAGCATACCGAACGGTCTTCCCAAAACTTGCTTGTTCAAAACAAGCTTCGCAGCGCACATGCACGGCTCTCTTTCCTCGCCTCCATTCATTTCTAAATATAGGTTTGTAATATTTGAACGTTTCGCTCCTTAGCGCGTTTAGCAAACGTCGATCTGAAGTTGCAGGAAAGTTCTTTGAACTTAACAACAAGTCGTACTCATGCCTGACAAACTTGCTTCTCCTGCGTGTTTCGTACTCGAACATCGTTTTTTGACACGCTCTCGGGCCTCTGTTTGATGTACACTTTCATTACTGACAGCCGCTTGGAGATAATGTGACTCTGTCATTACACGATTTTTTCTTCGTAAGAGAATGCAGAGCTTTGCAGTGCTGCAACAGAAACTTCTAAGACATTTTCTACTCCTTCTTCTTGTGGTTCCCCACGCTCTGGCGACGAAGGCTTGAGGTACCCTGCTTTTCGCCTGCAGGCTCACGTGCTTCAACGAGAGCTGCTTCAGCAGCCAATTGTCCCTCTTCTAAGCCTTCTTCCTACTGTCGCCCTATTTCAGGCAACGGAGCTTCACTTCTCGCACCTCTTGGTAATCATATCGTCCTTCATCAACAGAATATCTCTTCGTTTTATCGAATACGTAGATACATTACTGATGAGCAGTCATTTATCAAACTAGGAGTATGATCAGAAAATTTCCATTACACTGATGTATGTATTCTTGTAGATGACAAATCTTCGTTCTGAGGCACGCACAGAGAGATCGATCTTCCTTTTGGCAGATCACGAGTGTGCTGGTTCATTTCCATTGCAACCATGCTAGGTTTTATGTCGTGCGTGCGAAATGCTTCGAACATCTTCGACGTAAAGGTGGTGTTTATCGTGAAATGTGGGCTTCTGTTCACCACTACAACGTCAACAACATGTTCAAACATTAAACGCCAGCGATCGAGATAAAGGAGGCATCCGGATCTTCAGAAGTTTTTACTTTCCTTGCAGAACCAATTTCTGCGTACGAGAGCTCTTCTATGAGAAGCTTCATTTGGTTCACGTTTGATGGCTTCTCCATCAGTAGAAAAATAAACAGATATTCAGCAGCACAAGTAAGCCGCTGAATGAGTGAGGGGTTGGATGCTTTTTGCGGCTTTAACCCGGGGGTGGGAGACTTTTCATCGCTAATTTTCCCCTAGCGGCCTCCATGCAGTGCGTTAGAGTGGGCTGGGGGAGAATTAGTGATGAAAAGTCCTCCCGGGCATAGGTCGTAGGAGGCCCTAGACTCCCACATGTTATACATCATTTGAAAGCTCTTGACGAGATGAATCTAATATATGAAGTAGTAACATGATTCATGCAGCTCTTAAGAACTTATGAGCTGTTAAATTTTGAAAAGCGAAGCCTGGATCTCGGCGCTGTTGTAATGGATCGGTACATCTGAGACATACTGTAGTAGAACAATCCTTATTCTACAAAGTTTATAAAGTCGCAACATCACATATCTTCGCATTTAAGAATTATAGGAGTTTAATTGTCAGCTGTCACTAAGCAACCTAGGATGGCCTGATTTCTAAGATTCTGTCTTTCACCGGCCACTCCTCGATTCGAACTGATTCTTTTACTGT